AACTTGTTTTCAGGGGTTGAAACTTTCCAAACAGTCTGAGCCACAGTTTTTACAAAATTAAACCCCTAAAGATTAACTTAACAACGAGTTAAAAGCCACCTCCAGAAAACAAAACATGCGCTAGCGGCAGTACTGATGAAGAGAAAATTATTCAATTTTTATTTTTTGCGGGAATTTTCCCTAAAAAAGTCTCTTCTTCCACTTTTACACAGTAATTGAAACTTTACAAAAAATTTAGAGCAAAATTCTAACTAAAACGGAGCGCTGAAAAATTAACCTACCAACGCATTTGAACCGACCCACAAAAAAAAAAACAAAAACGTGTGCTACACATTCCAATTGAACTCGTATAAATCAAAACTTCAAAGAAGGCTGTAAATCAAAGCGAGGCGATATTGGCGAGAAAAAATCGAGGAGCGAACCTGACCTCCTCGACAGGTGAGGAACACCCCCCGATCAAAGTTTCGGACACCCCACTGGGAGATTGTTTCACGAGAAATGTTTTAATTATATCCGTGCGAGGACAGGGTTCAGCGGCGAGGCATTACATAAATAACGGATAGGACGGCGCGGGGCTCGACCTTCTCCCGGTGTCAAAATCAGGAGGTCGGAATCAGACGCAATCAGAATCTGAGTCAGGATCCAGACGAGGGAATAAAAATGGAATGGGTAGTCCCGAGTGCGGGGGAAGGCCGAAACCCATTTAAATTTTGACATTTTAACAATAATTTAATGGATAAACCCTCGAATATTTCTTTCGAATGTGACGTCAGGACATCCCCGAACCCGGCCCTGTAAACTAACATTCTGGCACGTAGGGCCGGCGACCCTGCTCCGGGACGCTCCTCTCGCATACCTTTTCGGTCTCCTTTCGGTGCCTATTGTTGTTCGTGTCTCCCATCTCCACAGCTGTCGTTTTTTAGATTCTTTTATTTATTTAATCTACTCTTGCTTACCGCTGTGATATTAGGATTATTTTTTTAAAAATATGGCAAACTTGCTGATCCTCCGACCCTAGTTTTACACCTGCGACCTCTGTGTCTTTTTTCTCACACCACGATGTCATCGGGGAGATCACGAGTTGAACGCACTTTCGACAAAATCGGATGCATCATGGTGAACAAAAAAAATATTGTTGAGCAGTCACCTAGGGTAAATATTTATAATAATTAAATCAATGCACCTAGACAATCATTGAACATCGATATTATTAATTTTGACAGCCGATATAAACTCCTTTTATTTCCTCCGCTGTTCATGGTGGATTGCTCTGTACTTTTTAGGCTGGCAAGGATTCTTATTCCATTAAATGACTTCTCATGCTGTACGTATTCAGAAAACTATTTCGCACAGATTTTCGGGCAGTTTTTTTATTTACGACTTTATTTTACGGTTATTTTATTAAATATCTGGCTTTCATCATTATTATTTGAGGTTGATAGATTTTTTATTTATTTCCTAACAATTAAATTAGCAGTTATCAATGCAAATTCACGGATTCTCATGAAATTTTCTAAACTGTAATTTTCCCTAGCCTCGACTTCTCCTAACAAATCTTGATTTTAAACTCAGTATTTGAAATATGAAGGATTCGATAAAAATTCGACTATTTCCAAAGTTGAAAAAAAATAATGCGGATGAAAACAAATAGGTGAGGTAAAGCTCTGCTCAATACGACATTTTGACTGATAACTTTTTTTTTTCGGATATCCCACTCCCTGTGCGACACTCGGAGTTTCTTTGAAAGACTGAAACTATTCAACAGTTATTCTGTTAATTACTCATAAATATTATATTAAACGCAATAATTATTTCACCAAAGACCTCAAGACAAACAATTCTCACGATCTCGTTTTCTTGATTCATGTTATTAATCATTATGAAATAAAATTTTAAAAAAAAAAAAAAAATTGCAAGCACTTTTCAACCCCAAGAGGAAGAAAAATCACTGTTAAAAAACCTGAACCGAAAGTCTCGTAAAGGTGCAAAAAGTAACATGAACGCCCGGATGACTGACAATGGTGCTTTAACGCACACTAATTAAAGCTTCGTTATTACAACTACTACTACTCTGATAATTACCGTCGAATTAACACTCATACGAATACTAACTAAATTGATGACATATATTCATACCCTGCCTTGGAGTATTTTTTCAACGCTTGACGTTGGATCATTTCTCGTCTATCTTCGCGATTAGTTGATTTTGGGACTTTGATTCCCCCTACAACACCGGTAATGATTTCACCATGACCATTTTTCGCTGAGAAACTGACTTTATTTTTATGATTTAAAAAAAAAATTAATAAGTAAACACAAAAAATGAATGTTTTGAAACATTTAAATTAAAGGGAGTGCATTGATTGCGATCATATTCATTACCTGATTTAATTTCTAAAATTGCTGGCTCATTTTTTACACGTGCGTTTGCAATTACAAAGTTTAGGATGGCTCAGGAAACGTTTAGGACTAGAATTTTAGAATTTCTAAGATTGAAATTTGGGAAGTATTCTACAAATATGATAAAGCGACTGCGGCCTTAAACCATTTTTATTACTCATTTATTCATTGTTTTACTTTTTATTTCAAGACGCACTTCGGGCCCTTAGAAATTTGAGAGGTATTTTCTACAAATATGATAAAGCGGCCCTTAATTTATTTTTATTGTTCATTTACTTATTTTTTTACTTTTTATTTCAAGACATACTCTAAGTCCTTACTGCTCGAATTATAATTGAATAAGAATGTACACTCATAATCATCAAAGACCCTAATAATTTACAACTTAAGTATTCAATGTTTTAATTACGTTCTTTTTTAAATATTTGCTTTCATATTTTTAATGAGTTATAAAATATACAATTTTTAAGAAAAAACAGTCCGTTGGTGGATTATTTACTGCTTATTTCTGTAAACTGCGGGCGAAAAATAGTCAATTATTTTACCATCAAAATAATTTTACATGAGAATAAAATCAGTTCAAGAGATACTTTCTCCAGTTTTGTTTTTCCATGTGACTCGTTTTGAAAAAAAGGAGTGAAAGTAAAATCATAATTTGAGGATTTAAAAATATGTCACGATGAATGAAACAAACAAATAAGATTGACCTCAAACTTGAATAATAAGTAACTTACTCTTTTAAATGTTAAGTCAATGCGGATGCAAATAGTTACGGTAAGATTTTTTTTTTTTTTTAAAAAAAAGGAAAATAAAATTACGCACTCTGCCAACAGGTCATTTCAATGCAAAAAAGAAATGTTTTATGAAATCTAGTGAAGAATTTAGAGGGATGAATTAACTTCAATGTCCTGGTAATAAGAACCTCTCACATGATTCTTAAACTTCTCTCTACAATCGTAATCACTCCTTAAATTACTTTTAAATTACCGTTTGTTTTGTTTCTTTTTGGAAAAAAAAACCAAAAAAAGTTTTAAGCGTATGGAGCATACGTATTCGCGTATTTTCATGCGTGCATGACATTGATTACATTCATTACGTTCATTTTGTTTCATTATTAACTGCAAGTTTAGCAGCTATAACCTTAGAAGATCCACGTTTTGGGAGTATTTTCATTAAAAGCCCCTGATTGCCCTAAATAAATGGTACGCGACAGGCACTCATTGTTTGAGCAATGAGATTTCGCCGTCATTATACTTTAAAATCACAAAACCCTTGAATGCCGGTATTGTTTTGAAATTAACCTATCAGTACTGACAATAGCCAAAACTCACGATCAGTAATGAAAATTTGTGAATGAACTTAAACAGAGAAACGCTCAAGAAAAGTATGCAGGATTTTTTTGATGAACTTATATGATTTTTTACTGTTATGAAGTAATGAAATTATAGATGCAGTTCCGATGCAAGTGCTCGTCATGTGTTTACCTAACTTAGTTCATATTGAAAGAAACAGATAGAGGTCACTTAATATTCATTTTCTCCCAATATTTCAACAAATTCGAAAATATAAAAATCTAATTTAAGTATGATACAGGTATTTACACCATATAAAACTTTTTTTCACTAATGACAAAAATTATCTGAATAAATCGATTCAATTTATCCCCGGAATATAAATTCAGTAGTAGTGTAAAAAATAGTTTGAACATCAAAAACATGTATGCGAATTTCATAAAATTTTAAGATTAAAATTAGAAAAATAACCCGTGACAGTAGGAAATTGAAAATTGTCCACCTCGAGACTAGAAACAAGAGCGAAAAGCTCTCGTTTCATACTAAGTTCATATGTACAAAAAGGTAAATCTCCAAAATTAGGCAGAACAAAATTGACAGTCTGTTGCATTCGTAAGGAATGTTGTTCGGACTTGTTTTCCAGCAAATTTCCATTCAAGCTTCGGCGACTCCATGATCAAAAGCTGGCCTCAAAATTAGACACATGTCCAGGGCCCTCACAGGGTTCATCCCTTGGAAGAAGACCTGACAGTGGTTTATGGAATTGATTCCTCTTTATTTTGTAAACAAATGAGAGTGAATGATGCACTAAAATGCGCATTGTTGGATGTAGTTAAAAATATTACTTCTAACCTTACCATGAATGTTCCACGATGGCAGGAGGTTTATTCCAAATCCGGTGAGCACTAGAACTTCAAAAACTTATGATTGATAGCAAATCCGTCGCTATCAATGCTTTTAGAACATGGAACTTAATTTTGATATCATTAGACGGGACAAACAACGGCACAGCAAAGGGAATTGGCGGGGATTTTGAAAATTGAGATTAAAACCGCCATTGAAGAGAGAAAATTGAAAATTGAAAGGGTGGAATTTTGCACTTTGAATTTAGCGAGGAAACATGAACAACTTTGAGGCGAACGGAACTTGGGCGCACTTTGATACTTAGTGGGAGGATTTTATCACAGAAAACTGAGGATTCGGAGCTGATCGGCGACACTTGAAGTTGGATCGATGGAAATCTGGTGGAAGCAGGGACGGAGCTTCATGCTTGTGGTGTGTTGTGAGATCAGACGTAGTCCCTTTGGATTTTGGAGATTTGTCTCGAGTATTCAATATCCCACTGGGCTAAACGCTAGTGAGCAGCAAGAGACTGGTGGGTAGGCATCGTTTGGGGAGATAACATTGGAGGACTATGGGAATGGCCCATTGGAGATCCGTGCATATCGGTATGATGGTAATTTTGATGAAGTCCATGTGGTCCGGGACCCATTTGCCCGTCCATCATGCCGTCTTGAGGCCCCCCTAGCGTATTAGGCGGCGTCATTCGCTTCTCCTTCTGCCGCCTATTACAAAACCATACCCTGACTACTTCTTTTTCAAGTTGTAAACTATCCGCTAACGAAGTGATTTCTTGCGCCGAAGGCTTGGGTTGCTTGTGGAAATGCTGCTCCAACGCCCCTTTCACCGACACTTCTATACTAGTCCGTTTTTTCCGCTTCCTGCCCTGGGCGGCAATTTTATCGATACTAGTCGGCGACCCTGTCGTACTATCGGCTTCCTCTAACCACTTTTGTAGCAAGGGTTTTAGTTTACACATATTTTTAAAACTTAACTGTAACGCTTCGAACCTACAAATTGTCGTCTGTGAAAACACATTGCCATATAATGTTCCTAAAGCTAAGCCGACATCGGCCTGGGTGAAGCCCAACTTGATTCGTCTCTGCTTGAATTGCTTAGCGAAGGCTTCGAGATCGTCCGAGGTTGGGGCATCCTCCTCGCCGCCGGACGGGGCGTCGGGATGCTGACTATGAGGGTATCCAGGGCTATCCCTTAGCGAGTGATGCAAGGGAGCAGAGTTCTGGAGCATGCCGTTCATGGCCGCATGATACGCACTGTGATGCTGCAACGGAGACGCACCACCGTTATTCGTAGGGATGTAGTGACCCGAGGAAACGACCGGGGCATGCCAGGAATGCGGGGAGCCCATGCCGGGCTGCTGGTGGTGCTGCCGGTGGATGTCGGCCGGCTTCACGTCCTGGTGCGGGGACGGGTGGTGGTGAGGGTGGTGGTGGATGCCCATGCTGGCCGCCCAAGGGTCGCTCGGCTGGAGACTCACCCAGGGGTTGTGGGCCGCCGTGAGGGACACGGGGTGCCCGTTGGGCGACGGCGAGGAAGGAACTTGTGGTACATGGTGATGGTGGTGGTGGTGGTGGTGCTGCGTTGGCGGCAGGTACTTCATCTCATTTTCGGAGCGTGGCGAAGGGTTGGTGTGGTAGCCACCGGCCCCTATACTCGCGTTAACTATATTCATGACGTTGCCGACGCTACCGTCCAGGTCGGACGACACCGCACTACTGGCCAGATACGTGGCGGCCATCCCACTCGCGGCCACTCGCACTTCCACTCGGAGCACTCAGCACTCCGCACTCGACACACGGTCACTGATCTGAATTGTAAAACGAGACGAACCGATCTCATGTGTTATGCATGTCGTGCGACTCGCGACTGACTGGCCCGCCGCGGCCAACGTTTTTTCTCGCTCGCTCTCGCTCCCTCCCTCCCCGCGCGCCGCCCCGGATGACGTCGCCCCTCCGGCGCCGCCGATTGGTCGGCCGCCCCGGCCCAGGCCACGCCCTCCCCGCCACCGCGGGCCCGCAACACTGGTAGCGTAGCAACCAGACATCGATCCCGCTTCCCGCCTCGCCGGCCGCTTCGACTCCCGTGCCTCTGTCAATGGATCGTATTAGCACGTCGTAGAGCCGTCAGCTTTTCCCTCCCCCTCTCCGCCCCCCACTTCTCCCCCGGACCATTCCTCGGCCGGCATTCGTTCACTGCCTCGTACCAATACTCATTCTCAATCTCGCGCGTCGTCATCGTTATCATCGTCACTCTTGTCGAACCCGTAAGCGGTAGCCGTCTCCGTATCCCCGTACGCCCGTAGCCGTCCTGCCTCCCGATCCCGGGTCGCCCGTAACCCGCACCGGTCCGCTCCCAGTTCTTCCAGGCTTTTCACTCATTTCCCGGCTTCATCTTTGACTTCTCCCGGCTCTCCCCGCTTTTTTCCCCGCCCCCTCCTTTCCGCTCCCCTCGACGTCTCCTTCCTTCACCTTTCCCTTCATCCCCCGATCGTCGTCTCCGCTTCCTTGCCCACCCTCCGATCCACCGGCAACTTGTGAGATTTTTGTAATTAAATTAAATTTTGGTAATTAAACAAACACTGCTTTGTTCCTCGTGATGAAATGTATAATTAAAAAAACTACTTCTCTGTGGCCGAGCTAAATATTTTCCCTCTCGAAACGCGTTATGCATTTTTTTAATGACCGGACTCAAATTTCCCTTTCAAAAACGAACGGTATGTTGAGAGCAAATCGGAAGTTGCTTAATCTATCGTTTCAGTGGACAAGTTCTAAGAAAAAAACAAAAGCAAAGTAAAAGTACGCTGAGTATAAATTTAATTTCTAAATAATTCCATTTTGTATTATATTTCACGGAAAAAAGCTCATACATAGGTCATGGTTTGGTGTTTATGGCTCACTTCAAACTTTAAAATTAAAATGTAGCTGATTGGTTCAAAGCTAAGTGATTTCTGCTGTTCCACGTGCATTGTCCTTAATTTGACTTTCCAGTTTCTTGACCGTACAAAAGAACATAGATTTTATTTTCGTAGATTGATTTTGTTCAAGGAAAAGCTGAAATTTTAATGTAACTTCACCGAACTTTTATCTTTACTCGATCTTTGTACTTGTTTTTCTCTGAAAATCCCATGTGAGTTTTCTCACTCTTGTCCGATCATGAGTTTGGCTCGTCTCACTAACAAAATTCATTGATATATCCAGCCAGTGAAGAGTGACGTGATAATACTATGATTCTAACCCGATGGAAATTTAATTTTATTCAACTCAAATCTTGCATTTTTATAACCAAGGTGAAAATATTTTCTTGATTTCACTGTATACGGTTTTTTTTTTTTTTTTTTTTTTTTTTTTTTTTTTTCAATCTATATACATACCTCTGCCGAGAGAAAATGTACGATAAACGGCTAGATACGTGTAAACAGCTAAACTATTCAATAATTCAAACATGAGACAAAGGATTCGGGCTTGTTTATTTTTACGTGACGATAATCTTGTTGTCTTCACATATTTTACTTTTAATCAAACTTTAATTACTGATCAAAGGGACCAACTTCAACCAAAGATAGTCACATCAAGTGAAACTGCGGGGGCAAAATCATTCTACGAGACTACGTGTTAGAGATAGAAGTCAATTCCTACTTTCATACTCAAAGTATATTTTTTATCTTTAATTTTTTAGAAAATGCATGACCAGTAAAGCTTTAAGCTGCACTTCTAACTCATTTTCCCGCTAGGAAATATGGTGATGTTCCTTTTAATTTAATTTAGTGCAAATACATTTGGCATGGAGTATGACAAGAATGACGCAGAATTACTTTTTTCATTATTGCAATTTTTTTTTTTTCAATTTAATTGTTTTTTGTTTGCGAATTTTTGGTGAGTTTTCCTCGCATACTATGACAACACTTACAGATTTCCCCAAAGATTTGAGTTTTCATGGGAGAATAAAATATTTGCTCATCGCATCCTCACCTTATTCCTTTGAGATGATATGCAATAATGAGGTATTTATTCTTCTTAATTAAAGCCACTCGCTAAAATTAAGTGGGAAAAGGCATTCTCGTACACGCACTGGGGGTGATACATTTTTCTATACTAAAATTCTTTTCCTGCTCTCCGATTCATTAGAACATTCATTTACCAGTAACTTTTATCAAGTAGGTCAGAGAAATTTGTCAATGAAGAATAAAGTAAAAATTAAAAAAGGAATAACATACTTTCAATATAATAAGATTATATAATAATAAGACTCAATAATAAGACTCAAATCCTTTCAGAGTATTAACCTGAAGCAGCTACATCACACGCAAGCTGCTCACTGTGCAGGCGCTTGCATACCACTATTTCCACGTGAGGGAGCGCAGGTGGTATACCTCGGAAACTGAAGGCGCGCATATTTGACAACTTTACGCAACACAAAAGTTTATGCAAACGTAATTACTCCTAAATGAATTTATTCTCTATTATTACAAAGAGACCTCCTACGCGCTGATATTCAATACTAACATTCCGTGATCTCTTGCTGTAGCTGAAATAATCTGCACCGTGTGGCTTTGGAACTATTTAGAGTATTCTTCAAAAACTCGTATAATCATTAATAAATTAAAATTACCAGTGAACTAATCTTTATTGGCATACAAATATTTAGAGCTTTTCCTTATTCAAAATAATGTCTGCTGTTCACATTTCCTCCGGTGACAAGAAAACGTCAACGTTTATTTTTTAATAAATAAAAAAATATATAAATAATAAACACATTATAAATTTAATCGTCCACTTAATCTACACAAACATCGGAGCATTTTACGATTGGTCGTGTTATCACAGCATATGAAATTCACAAAATGGGTTACTTTTTATAATACATTGAAACAGTTCAAACTAAAGTTGCGTAAAAATATTTGCAAACATAATTTAAGAAAACGTGTTCTTCATGACTAACTTCGGCTGACACTGTTGGACTATGAGGTAGGACAGTTCAAAACGAGGAAAACTTATTTTACATCTCAAGTATTTGAACGTGCCTTCCACTGAAGCTTTTATGAAAACTCGATCCTATAATGCAAGTTTCAGTCATTCATGGTGGAAATTAAAATTGCATAAAAAATTGTCACGGTGCGCTGTTTTTATTTTCCCTTCAGCTCCTTAAAAGTTTCTACCACGAAGCATTGATCAAAAACTCATTAGGTGAAGCTCTCCAAATCTTGAGTCCGTTGTTCGCTCTGTTCTACAGGTCCACCACTGTGCGATGATGAGTTTCGGAGCGCGGCCACTGGCAGCGCCACCTCTCGACTCGCTTCACTGTAGGTAATGGGAAGAGCTCGAGATGCGTCAAGTTCAAGTCATCTCGTCGCTTTTCTAACAAGTTTTTCTGAACAATTGAGGACTTTCTCGGTGAAAGCGCGTATGAGACTTGCAAAGGTGCTGAGATTGTGCAATTTTTTACGGCATTTGCAGCAGATGGAATTTATTCACAATCGGCTGTTGTCCGACTTTCGAAGTTTTGACCCTACAATTATAATAATTTTATTATGGCCGCATTATAGCGGCCCACGCAATCCACTTTTTTTTCTTCTTTTTTTGACTTATCGAGTAAATAGTGATTTTTGTGTGTTTTCATTTAAGTGTTCACTCTGGACCGAAGGAAAATAAACTCCCGCGATCTTCCTAAATTTATTTTTCGCAGATGTTGAAGCTTAATGAATGTTTTTTATAAACTTTTCTAAAATTAAAATAAAAACAAATTTTGAGCTCTTTGGATTCATAAAAAAATGACCCCCCCCCCCTCAAAACTCGTTGAATCATATGTCAGCTATTTGACTAATTCTGCTTGGTTTGTAATTCCGTAATTTATGAATTTAAAGAGCAAAATACTGCAATTTAAACATCTCATTCGTACTGTGAAAGAATGAGTGAGAGAGTCAAAGATCCTGCAAAATAAAAACTAAACTCTGTAAAGAGTAAATTTTCGACAAAACTTAGACTGTATGAAAAGACTTCTAGATATTGCTAATTACACCTCTTAAACGAACTGCTCGCAGTCCTAAATCGTTGATATTTCGTGAGTGGTACGTTACAGCTTTGAGTTCTGTTTTTTCTTCTTCATTCCCTTTAAAACAAAATTCCGTCCCATAATTCTCCAGAATCATCGCATTTACTTACGATAAATTGAACATTTGTATGGATAAGCGACTTGGGTAATCAATGACAAAATATAAATACCTACAGTAGGTAGGTATGAGTATTCATGGAGACAGAGAAAACGAAAAGTCAACAAACCCACATTTTTCAACCAGTTCTCAGAAATAAGAAAAAAAATAACGTAGGTCTCTATGTTAAATGAGAAAATGAGCATCCGAAGACGTAAAGCTCAGCCACTGAAGCACTGAGGATACGTTGGAGCTTGTAAAATGAGAGCATGCAATACACCTCACAAAGTTTGCCGGCACTGATGATTCCTTTCAACTCCGTCAGAGCGCAGCACTTGATGGAGCGCTATAGAACGCTCATTTGCTGCAAGCGACATTCAGCATCGAATCGTGTGTCTCTCCTCTGTCTCCAAATTCTCAGGCTATGATATCGTTCAGATTCGCTGATTAAGTCGTGTTTTACTCTGAAAATAAGTATAATAACAAACGGTGGTAAATTTTTTCATCATTGAAGGATTTTTTTTATTAATACGAGAATTATTTACTGCGTTTTGAAGCAGAATTTCTGAAAAAAACCTAGATACAACTTTCAAATTTCTGTATATTATCATTAATAAAAATTATATCTGAGATACATGATATAAGCAACAGAACCTTAATAATAAAGAAATAAGAATTATTAAATAATTAACGCTTTTAAGTTCATA